CCATTTGAGAGCATCAAGTTATCAACCCAATGTCCATCGCCATTTTTATCCCTACTAATCGAACTTTCTGTTGGTACACTCTCAGCCACAGAAGTCGCCTCCTTATCAGGTCTCAAATTGTTTATCTGAGCAAATCGTCCACATCCCGGGGGGAAATCTCGAACAGCAGAGATTCTGCGCCTCTTTAACTTAGGTGACTGGGAATGGAAAGAGCACTCTCCATTTTCCATGGGCAATTGTCCCAATCTTACATCAGAATGACTACCATTAAGTGAAGCAATTGTTCTCAACGACTCCAAATGTTGCATTGCCTCTACGACCCCCATTCCAACTCCAAAACCAATGTAGTGAAATGCTCAAAAACCTAAAACCATAGTAATCATTAGGAACACAGCTATCCTCAGTGTGCTAACAACAAAATGAATCAAGTAAAAGCTACAAATGTCATAATCCACGAGACTATAGGACAATGTTTAAACCACCCAAGAATCCAAACCCTAATTAAATCACAAAGTGCTAACAAAAGGATATAACAAAGGGGAGATTTAGAGAATCAGTGGTTGCCTTCTTCATCTTCTCTGTACATGAAGAGTTGGAGAATTGTCATAGTTCTTAACCCATCTCGCCATATTTCAGGATATCTGATAAATATTGCCGAAATCACCCCCATCAACTACGAACTACGTTAACTACGCAAACAACTCAATATTGATGCATAAGGTAATCTAGTTCATTTTCCCACTACTTTCTCAGTACCCAAACAGAAACCAAAATCCAAGGAACCCAATCTAATTTACAGATTGAAATAATCAGATGAAAAAATAAAAAATACCTGAATATCTTCTTCGAGTATGAATAGTTTCAAAGCGTCCAGCTGAAATAGAAAATTCATATATCAACGAGATGACGATGAACACACATAATCGATGAGTCGATTCGTCTTCTGAGTGATGCACAGCTCCCGATGGTTGAAGATGATGGTACAGCTCATAAATTTATTGCAATTGGAGGTCAAAATGGAGATTTGGAACGTACACTGGTAAAAAAGTTAGGACAACAGTAAGACAGAAGTCTGGCGAATGGAAATGGAAGGCATGAACCGCATCAAAATGGGTTTTCAAGTAACGTTCAATGGGCAAACTTGGAAACTTGTAAACTGCGTTACGCCAGAACGACGTCGTTAGGTGTGAGCAATGGAATTTGTAAAGCACAAACCTGCTCGGTTATGTTGAATTTTCATTTTTGTGGATTTCATGCAGGGACTTACAATTTCAGGTGCTAATTTAAAATGACTACAGTTTTTAGGGGTTTTATGTAATTAACCCAATAAAAATAGAGATATTTAGTTATATACCCATTTTTAGCACAAGTGATATAGATAAATCCTATACCCTATTGAATTTAATTTTGATTTTGAAATTACTTTGATACCTTATTGAATGTTTTGGGTTTTTTTATGAGGTTTTTGGGTTGAGCTTGTTTTAAAAAATCAATGGCAATTTTATTATAGGAAGTTCGAAGCTTTTTTGTTATATTGTAAATGGACTCTGGGTGTGTTTTTAAATCCCATTTAATGTATGATTTTTAAAAAAAAATTGGGCCCTATATTGGGTATAATAGTGAATCTCCCATAAAAATATTCATGCTTATGTTAATGACTAATGTCTTAGCAAAATTCTCTACATAATATCCGAAAAATTTCATACAATAAAGCTCTTGATCTAGAGATACTTCTTCCCATTATTAGGAGTTCTCCAAGTTCACATTTCCTATATTAATTAAGAAATATAAAAGACTAAAGTGGAAGGTTGGGGTATTGTAGGGTTACATTGTCCAAAAAATAATCTATATATATAAAGCAAAAAGCAGAGAATGGTAAAACATTCAAAATACCGGAAAATGCCCTTGGTTAATGCAAACATTAAGAATTGAAATTATTAATTAAATGAGAATAATATTGTAAATTCACACTTTTTCATTTAAAAAAAAATTAAAATTAAAAGAAAAATCAGATAATGGATCCTATTTTTATGAAATACAACTACTCTTTATCTTTTTTAATTCTAAAATAAATTTTAAATTTTTTTTTAAAAGTCTCTTACAGGCGCGAAAGCATGCAATCTGAAAGTTCAATTTAAAAATAAAAGAATAAGATATAAACAATAACTAAAAAACAGTTAGTCCAAGTAATATTTGTGTTTCTATTTTTCAATGTTTTAAAAAATTTATATCTAAAACATATTTGTATATTACCTTAATTATAATTTTGGGCCAAATTGCTACAAGTAGTTAATTTTATGTACTAGATTTGAAATTATTCATAGACAAAATTGAAATCATGATCAAACTAGGAAACCAAAACTGTCGTTTCACCATACAATTATCATATTATCCTTGTATTTTAAATAATAACGATATATTTGGTATTTCATGAATGTAGAAATTTTTAGATACCATATGTAACTTTATTAATATGACAAAAGACTCACCCCATAGTGTGGTTATATGATCATAACCTTCTACTTTAGGCCTAAAGGCATGTTTAATTACTTAAAAGGATGATATTCAAGACTCAAGAAAAGTCAGGAATAAGTCAATGGGGTTGAGTCCAAAAAGGGCCTTGACTTGTAAATCAGAGGTTTCATGTTTGAATCCTCATAGTATCATAGTTGTGTGTGCGTGTGAGAAATCTCCCTCCCCTCTAGTTTAGACTATCACTTGTACTAAAAAAACAATCAAGAATAGGTATGGAATCAACTATCTATTCCCGCATAATCAATCTAATTCCTAGTTTTCTGATATTGGATTACAAATTTTAATGTGGAATACTCTTTTATTTTGTATGTGTTAGTAAATGCATGGGAAAGTTAAGAATGAAAATAATTCAAATACCAGTAACATGTAAGGGCTCGTTTGACAATGATTGTGGATAGACCAATAAGAGCATATGCAATGGTTAAGATCAATGCAATTTTATTGCATGAAATTGAACTACAACAGTAAAATCCCCGTGCAATGGTGTGATTTAGTAATTGCAATAAAGGGTGTTATGTGATGAACCCTCTATTGAATTGCAATAGGCTAATCATAAGACTCACATGCCAATAAATTGAAGCTATTGAATTGTACCATTTCAAGTAAAACGGCAGTTCAATTCAATAGATGTCAAAATAGTTCAATAAATTGAACTATTGAACAACCATTGCAAATCCTCTAATGTAACACCTGAGGTTGGTGTGTTGAGTCACACATCAGTAAACTACTAGGTTGATTTGGCTACATAGGCAATTGCATGGAGCCTCGATATTGACTAGTCCTTTTAGGATATAGTGTTGAGGTGGCGTGCGACTAGGTCATGACATATGGTATCAGAGCCAACCTGACTGGTTTTACCATGTGGGCTCAAGGGGCACATTGTGGATCTTGACAAAGATTGTCAAGCTGACTATAGGCCCTGACAAGGACATCATCCATTGAAGTGGGGGAGAATGTAACACCCCATGTTGGCGTGTTGAGTCCCTTATCGGTAAAGTAGTCCCCTATCGATAAAGTACCAGGTTGATATGAGCTTCATAAGTGATTACATGGAGCCCCACTAGTAACAAGTCCTTTAATGGTATATTGCTGAGATGGCATGAGTAATTATTTGGAGAAGCACGTGGGAGTTGCTTCTCCTCATAATCGCTTAAAATCACTTAAAGTGATTATATGGAGAAGTGATTCTCCATATTAGTGATTATTGGCCTATCCAGAATCATTCCCAAACGAGCCATTATATGTCATAATTATAACCAACCCCATCCTTTTTCACCACCATCTCCTCTCTCTTTTCCCCGCCAATACCGGATGCGGCTTGCATAGAGCTGGTCTCCCATGAGTGTAAGATCCTATCGTCCACACATACCTTTCTTTCTCTTTCTTCTTGTCTTTTTATTCCTCATCCGGCCTCGAATTGTGTCAATCACTAGAGTCGGGTGAGTGTTTCCAACGACATAATGAGTGTAGCAAGAGAGAAAGAAAAAGAAAAAGGATGAAGGGATGGTAAATTGGAATATTATTTTGGGGGAAAAAAATTTGGGGGTAGGCATATAGAGCAATTGGTGGTAGTATATTCCTCATGTAATTTAGTCCAAAAAACAAGCAAAACAAGCAAAACACAAAAGGAACTAGACTTGGACTTGCAAACCAACTCAAATATGCATTTGTTTCACATTAGGGTTTTCATTATGGTTCACTAATGTAACGCATAAACACATGTAATGAATATAAACACAAGAATCATAACTTACCTTAGGACTTGTTGATTGTTGCAATGGAGAATGTCAAGAACAAATCTTGTGTTGATGCCGAAATTTGGACAAATACCTAAATGCGAACTATAAGATCATATCATTATAGAGCACTGGAGTGTTCACGGAAGGTGTTTGGTGTTTTCACTACCGAATAAAAGAGAATTATCACGAGATGTTATTTGATCAATAATTCAATTCCACCAAAGCACTCAAAAGATAATATGATAGATGAAATAGGTATTCTAAGAGGCCTTGTTGAAACTTGTTGACTTAAGTATCCTATAGAGAATGAATTGAATGAATTTTTCTGAATTTGAGGCCTTTATATATAGGAATACTCTTTATTGTTAGAGTTGGGGTATAAGTTAAGTTTTAGAGTATACTTGATCCTTAAGAAATCTATTGTGATAAAACTTCCCTTTCTTGCTGGGATTGGATTTTTTTTTTTGGGAATTTCAATATATTAAATAAAGTGAACTAAGAGAGTATCTTTTTAATTTCTTAATTATAAAATATTAAAAAGATTATCGCTTGTATTAAAAAACAGGAAGGTTATTGTAGTTGCCTAGTTATGATATTGTGTAGGACACGCAAATCGCCTGTAATCCGGGCCTACGACGGAAGCCCATATAGAATGAAAAGCGGGCATCGGGCTTCGTTTTCTTTAGCAAAGTGGACCGTTTATGGCTTTTCGCAGAAAGACGTCCAAAACGACGCCGTGGAGATGCGAAACCCTTTCATTTCGAGGTGGTGAGGATGCGAGAGGGGCTTTGTGTTTTGTATTTGTGAACATTCGAGACTCGCAGTTTGCAGTTTTACAGTAAACACCTTCTACTTCGTTCTCATTCTCTTCCTACTTGGTCCAAAGATCCGATCTAGGGTTTAACTAGGGTTTCTACTCTCTCTCTCTCAAGCCAAGCACAAATGACTATGTCCTCACAGACCCCCGATATCTTGGGCGACCGTCAGTACGGTCAGGACGTTCGCACCCAAAATGGTACTCTCTCTCTCGCTCTCTCTGAGTTTTCATTTTTAGGTCTTGTACTGAAATGGTGCTAATTTGTTCGGCTTCGTTTTGGTGAACACAGTGATGGCCTGTCAAGCTGTTGCAAACATTGTCAAATCCTCACTTGGCCCCGTTGGCCTCGACAAGGTATTCCACCCCCTTCTCTCTCTATAAAAACACACATACATACCAGAGATATTTGTATACGCATGAGATGTTATGTGTTTATGAGGTTTCAGTTCAGCTACTAGTATTCTATACTACTATGAAATGGTGGCTCTTTACCTCTTTGCTCCCTTTCTCGTGGGGTTGTGTGTGCGAAATTATCTTTTTTTTTTAATTTTAAAAAAACTTTAAACTAAGTTGCTTGGTGTATTTCACTACTTAAAAGTTTCAACTTTGCGGTTAATATATGAAGTTTGTCTTAGATAATTACGCCATGTAGTGGAATGGAATTCACTGTATTTTGTTTTCTTAAATGAATTGTAAGATGGTGAATTGGTATGCTTACACTTACTTGTGGAGTTTACCTTTGTCTAATGTGGCACCGAATCTAATAGCCCTTTAATTGTACACTGTTGTAGATTATGTATGCAAGAGTTTCGGCTAATTTACTCTGTTTATTGATTGGTTATTTCAGATGCTTGTGGATGATATTGGTGATGTGACTATTACTAATGATGGAGCTACTATACTCAAGATGCTAGAAGTTGAGCACCCTGCTGCCAAGGTGGGTAAAATTTGGTTATTTCTTGCTAATATGATACTATAGATGCATTTATACGTGTCAGAATGCTTGTTCCTATCAAATATATCATATAGTTTCGTTTAAGCTGTACAGGTGCTTGTGGAGCTGGCTGAGCTTCAAGATCGGGAAGTTGGAGATGGGACGACATCAGTGGTCATTGTAGCTGCAGAGTTGCTTAAGGTAATCTTGTCTGCTTGTTCTTCTCACTTCATATGCTTTTTGGGAAGCTATCTGATGTTCTAAAGCATGGTGACTTGGAAATCTAACTTTTTGACTCTAATTCTACAGAGAGCAAATGATCTAGTAAGGAACAAAATTCACCCAACATCCATAATCAGTGGTTACAGAGTGAGCACTTTTTCTTTTTTCCTTTTTTCTCTTGTTTTAATATTTAGCAACTGCATCCACGTATGCTCATTGCAAAATGTTTTGTGGCTTATAACATGTTACTTTTCTATTGTAAACAACCCCTTATGTTTGACCCTTTCTTTGCATTGTGTACAGCTTGCTATGAGGGAAGCTTGCAAGTATGTTGAGGAAAAATTAGCTGTGAAGGTGAGGCTCCTCAAGTGAATTATTCTTTTGAAATTTGTTGAAAAGTAGAAGGGTCCCTTGTTATGGGAATAAGTGTCCTTTTGGTTGTACAGACTGTAGTGCTTCTGTTATATTGTGTAATCTCTTAGAGGTGTGGAAGTATAGTAATGGAATGTTGTGGAAAGAAGTTGATAATTTTGGATGTTCAATTGGCTCTTACCAAGAAGGCTTACTGGTCATACACTCATAGTCATGATAGCACCAGGCCTTATGCTTTGACATGGACAGAAATTTTATGGTAAAGTTGTAAAATGCATGATATATAAAATGTTCCTGTTTGATTAATTGATACTTTCTTGATTTCCCTAGGTTGACAAGCTTGGAAAAGATTCTCTAGTAAATTGTGCAAAGACAAGCATGTCCTCAAAGTTGATAGGTGGTGACAGTGACTTCTTTGCGAACATGGTATGCTTATATGTTGGATATGCTGTTCGGAATTTGTATTTTCTTAGGAATGAAATCTTATAATATTGCTGGATTTGTCATTCATAGAATTATTTTTCTCATATAAAATTTGTAGGTATGTCAGGTATTTATTTGTGATTTCTGGAGCAGTAGAAACCCTTAATTTTCTTTTTGTACTTATGTGTTTTGATGATATTAGTATATAATTGGTTTTTGAAGGTTGTAGATGCAGTTCAAGCAGTAAAGATGACCAACGCTCGAGGGGAAGTCAAGTACCCAATCAAGGTCGGTACTTCGTAGCTATGTATTCACATGTGATTCATGAAGGTTCCATCATGAGCCATTATCTTTCTTTTTATATCATTCTATCGGTTTGTTATTGCCTACATACTATGTCTTAATTGCTCTTTTAATTTTCAGGGGATTAATGTTTTGAAAGCACATGGGAAAAGTGCTAGAGATAGCTATCTCTTGACTGGTTATGCGCTAAATACAGGCCGTGCTGCACAAGGAATGCCACTTAGAGTTGCCCCTGCGAGGATTGCCTGTCTTGACTTTAATCTTCAGAAGACAAAAATGCAAATGGGTGTCCAAGTTTTAGTTAGTGATCCCAGGGAGCTTGAAAAAATTCGCCAAAGGTGATAAGATAGTGGACCCTAATTTTCTTTTAACTTGTATATTATGCAGTGAACTATTTTGCAGACCCTATCTTTAGCATGCCAATGGACACATGCAATTAGTCATATCTATTATATAAGGTTTTTACAGTGAGATATGTTGAGGGCATGAACACAGTTTAGCATACTGTGGTGATATTATGTAATCTGTTCTCCATACTGCTAAAAATAACTTGCTCAATTACACTTTCGTCAGTGAAATTGATAGGGCAATATAGAATTATGGCACATGCCTATGATTTCCATATTGCTATGATGCCTCAGACATAATGGTAACTGCCTCAAATGGATTGGTTTGGGAAATTAAGGATGTCACAAATGTTTGGTAATGTACTAACAACACTCATGTCTCTATAGAGAAGCTGATATGACGAAAGAGCGTATTGAAAAACTCCTGAAAGCTGGAGCAAATGTTATTCTGACTACAAAAGGGATTGACGACATGGCACTCAAGGCAAGATTTTTAGTGATTTGTTTTATCAACTGCTTTAGCTAAGTCATGCCTGATATTCGATTTTGAAGTACCAGACTGGGTCAGAAAAACGTTGTTATTGTAAATTATAGTTACTGTTAGCTTGTTCATAACTTTTGACATGGTTGGAATTTGTATTCCTGAAAGCTCCTGGTTAAATTTTTTCTAATTACCATTTGTAGGTTCTCTTATTGAAAATTCTGCAACACCTTCTTGAGGATATGTTACTTGTATCCATTTCAGCACCTCTTTGAGTTAATAAGATATGCTCTAGTTTAATACAAAAGCGTAAAAGTTTGAGGTTTCAACCTAATGGTTTTAGGAAATGAACTAGTAGGTGTACTCTCTTTATTTTAACTCCCGTATGGTTATTTCGCAATACAAAGGGAGATATACAATACAAATGTGTTTCCCTTTAAATATTGATGATGTGGGTATATGCTGAGTCGGTCTTGTGGGTTCACTGTTATTACAGTGATCTAAGACATGCAATCTGTTTACAATGAGTTTGTGTATGAATGTTTATCCCATGCACTATAGTAAGTTTGTTGGTTATATAAATTTAATATCAGTGATTGTTATTTCAGTATTTTGTGGAGGCTGGTGCTATTGCTGTAAGACGTGTTCAGAAAGAAGATATGCGCCATGTTGCTAAAGCTACCGGTGCAACAATGGTAATTTCCTCTTGTGCTTCTTTAATAACATAATTATCTCGCAGATTTGTTTTCCTTTGGAAATTGACAACCAGATATTCAGATGACTAATGATGTTTAGATTTCAAAATAGTTAAAACTTATTTTTCAATTTTGCATCTTTCTTCAATCAAGTAGATCCATATGTATGTTTCCAATGATAAACAAGTACAACCTGTATATGCATGTCATCTTGTTTCTTATTTTATCCCCCTTTTTTTCTTTTGGATCTGTAGGTTTCAACTTTTGCTGATATGGAAGGGGAGGAAACATTCGATTCTTCACTGCTCGGATCCGCTGATGAAGTTGTGGAGGAGCGCATTTCTGATGATGATGTAATTTTGATAAAAGGAACCAAAAATAATAGTGCGGTGAGTGATTTTAATTAAATTTGATACATTTTTCCTCCTTGACTTTGGGGTCTAGTTTGTTCTGGTGAAAGTTATGAATTTATCTATATGACATGACTTGGATAAGTGCATAACCCTGACCAACCTATGTTAAGAACTAATGAAGTTACACTAGTATTACATTTACTTTATTCATATGGTATGGTCTGATTTTCTCAATATATTATTTTCAGGTTTCTTTGATCCTCAGAGGTGCAAATGATTATATGCTCGATGAGATGGAAAGAGCTCTTCATGATGCTTTGTCTATTGTCAAGAGAACCCTAGAGTCAAACTCGGTAAAATTTGGCACTTCCTGTTAATGTTCTGCATTGTTTGGCAGTGGTTATAAATTAATGATATTTTTTCCTTTAATTAGTATGGTTGCAGGAAAGTTATGGCATATAGTAGCACTTGGATAAGTTATGGTCTGTTTTCTTAACTGTCATCATATCATTGCAGGAAACTTGTAAAAGTTCTATTTGAGTTTTGTGTTGTTTTGCTTAAACATGGTGAAATGAAAGGCAGAAGCTTTTGTCCCCTTTTACTTGGGCTTTTCTGTAAGAAAACACCTCACATTTCTTTCATATATTAGTGATAGGAAAGGGATCAGAACCATTTTAAATTTACCATCTTCTAAACTAAATCATCTTTGCCACTATTTGCTATTAATCAGGTCTTTTGTCATGCAAAACGGATTACTGCGGCTGTTCACTTGATTTATATTAAATTAGAATTTTTTTATCAATGTTTTTCCATATATTATTCCAATCATGTGTGTGGTGTGAGGATGTGCAATGCATTTTTCGATGGAAAGAAAAAGGAAAAATGGGAATGTTTCACTACCAAGTTTGGTGTCCTGGTTTGATTGTGATTTTTCGTGTTACTTATGTACCTAACTCATCGATATATTGACCATGCAGGTGGTAGCAGGTGGAGGTGCAGTGGAGTCTGCGCTGTCTGTGTATTTGGAATGTTTTGCTACAACATTAGGATCGCGTGAGCAGTTGGCAATTGCAGAGTTTGCTGAATCTTTGTTAATTATACCGAAGGTTCTAGATTTCTGTTGTATTCCTGTTGTCTTTTGCTATTGTTATCTGTTCATGGTGTTTATATTGTCACTTTTTATCTGGTTTAGGTGCTGGCTGTCAATGCTGCCAAGGATTCCACAGACTTAGTTGCAAAACTACGGGCCAATCACCACATTGCACAAACCAAGGCACCAACCAAGGCACAGACCAAGGCTGATCAGAAGGATTATTCTAGGTATTCTGATTTCTGACATTGCAAATTCCGGCTGATTTTCATTTTTTATTTTGGGGAGCTCTTACATGAGTGACAGTCTAAATTCTACGTGTGGGTTTCCTTTTTGTTTCCGTCATCCTCTTTGTTTGTGGTGCGTCTGTATATTGAATTTAGTGGCATTGTGATTGTACTTGCTCATATCCAATAGGTGACAGAGATGCCAATATGATAATAATGCAACTGAAATTATTCTGTCTTGGATGCATAGAAATCCTTACAGATTATGTGACTGCTTACTTACGGTGATTGCTCTAAATTATTGCAGCATGGGGTTAGACCTTTTAAAGGGAGAAGTCCGCGACAACTTAAAAGCCGGAGTCATTGAGCCTGCAATGAGTAAAGTGAAGATAATTCAGGTACAAAATCCTAGATACAAATTCAGTAATAATTTATAGGATAAATCTTGGTTAATGACAGTCTTGTGACGTTTGTTAACTTGAAACTTTTTTGTTTGGCAGTTTGCAACTGAAGCAGCTATTACAATTCTCCGAATTGATGACATGATCAGGCTAGTCAAAGATGAAAGTCAAAATGAGGATTAAGGTGCGCGGAGTAGCATTTGACATTGTCCTTTTCTTTTTGTGTTCGAAGTAGAAGGAGCGGGAAGTGAATCCGTGCCAAACATGACTTTACGGTTTATATTCCTTCCCTGCACCGAAGAGGATTTGTTGATGTCTTTTGTTTGGGAATTTGTATCAAACTCTTGTTTTAGGTGAAATGGTTTTCCAAGGTTTGGGTGAGGTGGAATTTATTAACCAATGATGGTTTCCGGCTAGCACTCGAGCTGGAAATGTTTTGTATTGATTAGTGAGTAGATGTTTGTAATGGCCATTTTGGAAACATAAATGTGAAACCTTTTTGTGGTGGCGAAATGGCAGTGTCCTTGTTAGCTTTTCTTACTTTTTCTTATTGAATAATTTGGGTCGACAAAATATGTAGTTGGGAATAAGATGAAAATATGGGCAAGTGAAACTGATTGAATTTAGCCCAAGAAAAGAAATTTGGAAATATGCAGTGCTAATACAAAAGGCGTACCCAGAATAGAAAGAAAAAGTTACAGATCGATAGACTCTGGCAGCTGAAACTGAACTTGGATTTGGAGAGCTGGACGTGGAAAAAGATGAAAAAAATGGCCTGGAATTCGGTTTTAAAATTTCAAAGGCCAAGAAGAGAGCATGCAGTTGAATATATAATTAATTGCAACCCAGTCATCATCTTCTCTAACATTCAATCTTCTCACCTAAACTGCTAGGCTAGATAGTGGAGTGGACTGGTATTGCACGTTGCAACACCATTCCAGTCGCTTTGAAACGTTGAAGCCAAGAAACATTCTATTCCTGCAGAATTACAAGCCATGCAATGCAATAGATTTGATTGGATTTTTATTTTTTCAAAAAGAAAAAAAGAAAAAGAAGCAGAGCTTTTGAAATTTAAGACAAATGCATCAGCAGCTTCTGTTGATTGCAAGAATTATAAAATAAAATAAAATATTCGCCCACCGTGGGGCTCGAACCCACGACCACAAGGTTAAGAGCCTTGCGCTCTACCAACTGAGCTAGACGGGCTTGGTGCTGAAGTTGCGTTTAAGTTCTATTTCAAGTAAAAGTAAAAAATTCAAACACCCGCCTTATCAAAATAACTCAAAGGGAATGCGCGCCTAAATCCAATTTCATCACTCATCCTCCGCCGTTGATCAGAAAATGAGCGGGAATCTCCCAAATCAAACCCTTCAAAACCAAAAATAAAAAATAAAAAATATAAAATATATGCAAACCCTTTAAAAGGAGAAGACTGAAAGAAGAGCAAATTGACGAAGACGAAAACCCAAACAAACCCCATCTCATGGACGACGGCGACGACAGCTACGAGTATGAGAATGACTCGTCGTCTGAGTCCAGCTCCGGCTCAGTGGCCTGCACCGGCATCATTATGGTCTCGCCTCCGGAGAGCTCAGAGGACGACGAAGCTCACAACAACAGAGCCTCCCAAGACGTGTTCCAGACCCCACCCGAATACTCGTACCCGCTAACCTCCGAAGGGAAAGCTCCGTTGCTGGAAGTTAATACGAGCGACGACGATCCTCCGTACGAGGATGTTGGAGACGGGCGAGGCGTAATCGTGGCCTTCAGCGAAGGTACGGGTGCGGTGGATTTGGGAGGGGACACGGATCTAGGGTTTGCAGAGGCTGCAGCGGTGGAATTTAACGTTTTGAGGAGGGAATTGTCCCCGGAAGGCGGTTTACTGGAACCCCCATTGAAGAAATTGAAGGATTCCAAGCACGATTTGGGAAAATTTGAGCCCTCCTGTAGTTCCACTGAAAGTCTCGAAATTGACGGTTGCGATGAGAGTTTGGGCGAGGAAGGCTCGGAGGAGAGGAAGCTGGACTCTTCTGACAACGAGAGCGAGAGTGCTGTCGAAGAAACTCAATCGAACAGTGATGAAAAAGACAGCGTTGTGGAGATGGAGGATGGCGGCGAGGAATGCCTGGATGATGTGATGAGGAGTACACCAAATGTGACTATTGAGGAATTGCGGCGAATAGACAGCCCGTGGAGAGGGCGGGCTCTGCCACGATCGATCGTGCAGCCTGGGTCTAGTGCTATGGATGGTGAGGATACGGTGCAGAATGAGGTTGCTATATTGGATGTGTTGAAACTTCTGAAAGACAAGTATGATGGTGATGGTGATGATGTGGTTGACAATGGTAGTTTTTGGGAGATAAGTAGGCGTCGAGGCATGACTTTTTCCCAGCCATCGTGGTGGCCGGAAGGCGGGTTCTGATTTGAAGAAGAAGAGTCAAGTTTGAAGAGCAGCAGCATTGCAACTGAGGTAGGACTTTTAGGGTGTAGGTAAATGGGGGTTTTATTAGAAAAGTTAGGATGAAACCGCTACTTTTAGTATAGAAAAGTCTTGCTTGTGAATTGGGTTGCATCACCTACTTGTATTACATTTATGTCTAACCTTGGTGTTTTGCTTTTATTTAAAAAGAACATATTGCTCAGGCTTTCTTCTTTTGAAGTTTCACAATTTGGAAAAATATATCTTTTGAAAGGAATTGGCCTATGGTTTGAATATGTATTATTTCTTTGATATTGCTCTTTTATGTCAATAAATTTTTATATATAAACCTCCCCCCATCTTTAGTTTCTCAGTTGATCACCTCTGCAAACAGAAAAACGCCAAAAAATAGATTTGATACTTGATGCTCCTAAAAAATTTAGAATATCTCAGATTCTACCAGTATCTTAAAAAAGGTGTGAGCTTAGTTGAAGACATGTTGAACCTTAACCCCACATGAAGGAAACTCATATCCTAATTCCCACATCTTGGACTTTTAAGAAAAGTAGCAAACCAACAAACCTTAGTATTCTTGAGTGGATAGTTGGATAAGAAAGACCTTATCGTTAAGATATTAGTCAACAATTTGAGCAATTCTAGCATCCTAGAAAAAGGCATAAAGGAAGGCTAAATGTCCACTACCTTCGCATGCATCACGCAAATTTTTTTTTTTTTTCTCTCTTTAATAAGCAACAAACAAGCCACCAAACGAGTATCTGGCTTATTATGAAAGACAGAAACTAAAATTCATACAAAATTATGGAACTTACCAGTTGTGCAATATAAGCTTATATTACAACCTGTTTGTCAACCTATACAAAAAGCCCCACCCAAATTTCATCCCTTAAGAGTTCAGGTTCAAAGAGGTAAAGGGAAAAAGAGAGCAACCATCAAACCTCATTCACATGTCTTTACCATTCAAAATACATGAACCCTGTCATCGCTTTAGGCAGAAGGCGTGGTACCTATATAATTCTATCGATCAACATAGCGTTCGACATTTTCACATTTGTCACGGATGGAGTACGTGTGGGTATATTGAGCTACTACTAGTGCTTGCCTGTTGGGCACCAAAACTCATGGCTGGGTGAAGAAGCTCTGCTTGTGCGAAAGATCCATTGGATGGCAAATCCAGTAGAAGATCCTGATCAGAACTTTCATCAACAAAATTCATAGATTCCATCAAGAGAGAGCTACCATCTGCAGGCAAAGCGAATAGGCTTCTTGGACTAAAGCAAGAACCATCATAGTCCATGAGATCCTTGTTTTCATTGCTACCCTTCACGATTATCCTTTTGGGGCTCTTCATCATCATCTTTACATCTGAAAGATGCAAGATAGTTAAGAACAGTTACAATGTACAATAAATTGAAGGGGGAATTGTGAAAAGATGATAGACTATTTCTCAAATGTTGTTCCATAGGTTTTGAAGTTCGAGTAAATATAAGCTGAAAGTGAAAAGATTGATTTTAGCCTCTTAAATTGCGTTACTATCATTTCACTATCATGATGCAAAGAATTAATCTTGTCTTTTGCAAATGCTCTTACCAATATTGCATGTTACACACGGGCGAAGAGAAGTAATGTTATGGTACTCAGATATGCACTCTCGTTTCATCTTTTGTGTAATGTTTCTGTTTCGAAAAGACATACTAGCAGAAACTTCACCATTCAACTAAATATAAGAGAGAACTTTCAGCTAACCTGGAAAACTTTGAGTCTCGCTGTCCCGCAGTCTCTTGACATGTCGGAAATTACTAGATGCCAGGGCGTTAGGCCCAGAAATAATAGACTTTCCAGGGCTAGTTTTACATTTCTGTAGCAAAAAATGGATAGCGACTATTGTAAATTCACTTTGAAATTTTTTCTAATAATATTTAGATTTTAGAATAGCTCAAACCTTGAGAAGATGATAGCGTTCAACCCATTTAGATTTTGAAGAATTGGACAATACAAGCCTTTTCAAAGTCTTACAGTCTTCAGTTTTTGCCCCTAGAAAGGAGATATCAAAGACCCCTTCTGCTAGCAGTTGCTGAAAGGAAGTCAAATTCTCCCTGAATTGAGGACTATCGAACATGCTTTTGAGGCTGCACATACAAAACAAACAAACCACAATGAATGTCATATATCATGTCCAACTTCTTAAATTCTCTTATGTAAGGTTAGACTTGATAGCTAATCTATCCTTAAAACATACCATACTGACATTCCAAAAGAAATTGTATTCTATGTTTTCAAGCACACATGGTGATAATTTAACATGGCTCCATGTTCATTATGGGCCTCTGGGAAATTTCACCATGTGCAAAATAGGATGGTTCATATCTGTAGGACTAGATAACATATCAATCTTGCAACTGTGCACCCAGTGACATATTGCTTAAGTAATACAAAATAATAGCATGAAAAAGTATATGTTCACTGCCACAGTTGTAAACTTCTCTTGGAATTCAATATTCACCGGTCAACGATAAAATATTCTATTAAAACATAAATGACAAGGCTTCTAACCTATAAGGAAATTTAACAACATCAACTGGAGGTAGATGTTTCAGTAATTGCTGTTGTTCCTCATTTGTCAACTGCCTCGTAAACTCTTCAAAATTTAAAATATCCTACACCAAACAAGAATTGAAACTATGTTAAGAGTTCAATATTGAAGGAACAACTTTTCAAGCAGACCAATTATGACTGAATACACTTGAACTCCAGATCAGACTGTTGAAGTAGCATAGAATTAGGCAGAACTTTGAAGTAGCAGGAAATGACTAAGAAAAGAATAATAAACAAAAATTAAAGAAAATAATGAAAATAATATCAGCTATTGAAAAGCATATACTGTTGCCCACAGGAAAAGTAGTTGTAAGTTTTACATCCTAAAAATGTTTGGTAAATTTGGATATTGGGTTGAGTGAAAAATTGGGCATAAATGGAACAATTCACATTCTGCAATAACTAAGCGTTCATTAACTTGTTGAAATTAGGGACTATATAGATAACAGAGAATCTTATCAGAGGGAATTGCCTTCTTTAG